GTTATAAATGCTTTACATGAGGTTCTTCTTCTGTCTTCACATCAACTCTGTGTTGCAGATACTAATATTATCTGCATTTTACAAGATTGAATTATTATGAATTTTAATTGGTATATTTTGGATTCCACAGCACTTCAGGGCTAGAAACAGTCTTGAAAGTGCATTTAGCTGATCTCTTCTTGGTAAACAGAGATATTTCCAAGTGTTCTAGGATAATCATAGACCCAAACCTTTGAAGTAGTTTACAGATGCTATGAAGGGAACTGGGTCCCTCCCAGAATTCATATGTTGAAACCCTAACCCCTGGTGTGTTGGTATTTAGAGGTGATTAGGTTTAGGTGAGCTCGTGAGGGTGGGACCCTCATGGTGGGATTAGTGTCACTATAGGAAGAGACCAGAGAGCTTGCTCTTGTTCTCTCCACCACATGAGGACACAGAAAGAAGATAGTCATCTGGGAAAGCCAGGAAGAGGCCTCACCACGAACCAAATAGGTCAGCACCTTGATCTTGACTCCCCACCTCCAGGACTATGAGAAATAACTGTCTGTGGTTTAAGCCACCTAGTCCATGGCATTTTGTTACAGCAGCCTGAGCTAGCTAAGGTGCCAAGTTTCTGCAGGACCCAGCCTGGCATCTCTTTCCAGGCCAATCTCAGATCAGTGTCCCCCCCTCACTGTGACCTTCTGGTCACAGTACTTTATTCTGTTTCTGCAATGAGACAAGCTCCCTATACTTCTGGGTTTTCATAAATGCTGTTCCCTCTGTCTCACACACTCTGGTAGACAAAATAATGGCCCCCAACGATGTCCATGTCATAATCCCCTAAACCTATTGATACGTTACTTGATAGGACAAAGGGGACTTTATAAGTGAAACTAAGTTCAGGATCCTGAGATGGGAAGATTATCTGGATTATCCAGATGGCCCAATGTGATCACAGGGTCGTTATAAGAGGAAGGCAGGAGGTTCTGAGTCAACACCACAAAAGCAGAGCGATGCTGTTGTCGGTAGAGGGCCAGGAGCCAAGGCACGTGGTGGGCGCTAGAACCTGGAAAAGGCAATCCTTCCCTTAAACAGGTTCTGCCCTGAAGCCTCCAGAAGGAATGAAGCCTTGCTGACCCCATTTTAGACTTCTGAACCCCAGAACTGTAAGATAATAAATTGTGTTCATGTATGTCACTGTTTGGGGTAATTTGTTACAGCAGCCATAAGAAACTAATACTCTCTTCCCACTTACTCCTCTCTTTATTTTCATTCTTATTGATCCTTCATATTTCCATTCAAATATCACTTCCACAGGGAAAGGAATGTTATTTGTCTTACCACCTCAACCAGTAACTCATCAAAGAAATGCCCCTGTTACATTTTCACAGCATCCCATGTTTTTCCTTCAAAGCTCTTAAAACTGTTAGATTATTTGATTAACTTCTGAGTAACCCCCCAGATTCCAACTTCTGTGAGAGCAGAGTCTATGCTGTTTTTTTCTCACCATTATATTCCCAACATCTCACACCAGAATATCATAAACATTCAATAAATAGTTGTTTAATGAATAAATAAATGAATGAAGTAACTAATTCATATAGTATATGAAAATGATTTGATAGCTCTAAAAGAGACATATAAACATTATTGTTATAATTTTAATTGGTTAGGCCTCCAAATAAAAATTAATGCTATAGGGACTTCCCCATTGGCGCAGTGGTTAAGAATCCGCCTGCCAATGCCTGGGACACGGGTTTGATCCCTGGTCCCGGAAGACCCCACATGCCGTGGAGCAACTAAGCCCGTGTGCCACAACTACTGAAACCTGCGTGCCTAGTGCCTGTGCTCTGCAACAAGAGAAACGACCGCAGTGAGAAGCCCCTGCTTGCTGCAACTAGAGAAAGCCCGTGTGCAGCAATGAAGGCCCAACACAGCCAAATATAAATAAAATAATTTACTAAAAAATAAATAAAAATTCTATTAAAAAAATTAATGTTATATATAAAAGGTTTCCTAATAGTCTGTGAGCCTTATTCCCATATTAAAAAGCATCAGAAACAGTTGCTGGTTAATAGGAAACTGGAGGCTCATTTTTATCTCATTTTCATTCTTCTGTTTCTAAGTCATGTCTTCTTCTTGTTTCCACCAGTTCAAATATATGAAAAGTACCTTGAAAAGGAAGTTGGCTTTCAAGTTGATTTTATAACTTTATTAGTCAAGATAATGCTTGCTGTGGTGTCGTAACAAACCCCCAAATCTCAATGGCTTTAGACACATAAAACTTTTTCTTGTTCTTGCAAAGTCTGAAGAGGGTCAGCAGTGTTGTCTTCCATTTATTGATTCAAGAATTCAGGCTCCCTTCATTCTGTGATGCCGCCACTTCAGCCTCTGGCCTCCAGGCTTTGTGCAGGACAAAGAAGTCACAGCCCTTGACTACCTTGGTCCAGAGGTTACACGCATCAATTCATAAGCCATTGGTCTAAACTTGTCACGTGGGTCTGACCCAATGGCAAGAGAGTCTGGGAAACGTGAGGAGCGTGGGGAATATTTGGTGAGTATTGTCCACAAGGGCTATCAATGTTTTTTGCAGTGATTCATTACTTATATGCTATAAGTAAATTGAAATATTGTTCCCCCAATAATATTTAAATGTACTTATAAGTTCCAGCTCTTCAAAGAAGCAATACAGTGACTCATTTTTTAAAGAGTCTTTTGTGAGTAATCACTTCAGATGTGTCTCTTTCAAATTAAGACAGGCGTGTTTATGTTGACTTTTCCTGAAGTGTCCTCCTTGGCGTGCTGGGCCAGCTCACCCTGTACGTCTCTACCCAACTCCCAGGTTCATGTCAGGTAACCTTGCAATGGTAGCTTGAATTTGGCCACAGTGGGATCACCTACACCATAGCATTTAGCAAATCCTACAAATTAGGACTTCTTTTGTCTTCAGAGAAGCAGGTGTTAAACATTTGCTAGCATATTACTGTATACACTGGTAGTTAAAATGATTGTTTGGTCCTAGAAATCAGCTTGTAACATAGTTTTTAAATTAATGAGTTATACAATTTTAAGACCAAATAATCTTTTTGTGCCCAGTGGGTCTGTGCACACACGCCCACACACGTGCTTGGGGCTGGCAATGCAGTATAGCAAAAAGCTCCAGAAGGGTCAGGAATCCAAAGTCTGTTCTAGGTTCTGCCAGTAATCCCTATGAGTCCTTAGCCAGGTCACTCAGTCTCTCTCAGGCACAGTTTGTCAATTGTAAAATAAGAAAATGGTGCCTGCTGATCCCCCATCCTCTCCTGTCCTGATACTTACAATGCAGATCCCACACTGAATCAAGCCACAGTGCTCATACTTTGCACTAGACTGACAGTACCAAAAACACCTAATTGTTTCAAGGGCAGACATTGGAATTTATTTCTAGATGATTCTGTTAGGGTTTGTGTTTGCTCTGTGGTTATACCATAAAAATATGTATGAAAGAATGACACTGTTATTGTAAAATAAGTGAAAGATTTATATTGCAAGGAATTCATGTTGCAAGCTCTGTCATCTTGAGACTTAAACTACAACTGCAGCATTTTCTTTCTTTTTAGTTCATGCTCTTATATTGGCTTTTGTTCCAATTATTTATTGCTGCATAACAAATCACCGCAAAACCCAGTGATTGAAAACATAAGCTGGTTTACTACGCGTCAGAATTTCCTGGATCAGGAGTTCAGGCACATGGGATCAAAAGGGATGCTGGGTGATGTTCAAGGTTGCTAAACATATCTGGAAGCTCCAATATGGCTTTACTTATGTCCTAGTGCCTTGGCAGGAGCAGCAGGAGGGCTGGGCTCACCTTGGCTCCTCTCTTGCTAACCCAAGGTCGTCATGGCGACTGAGGGTGCCCAGAAACCAAAGCGGAAGCTGCCAGTAGTCCTCTGAAAAGGTAGGTCCAGACGTGGCCGGGTGTCACTAGTGGCAATCTCTGCTTATGAAAGCAGTCACAGGCCAGTCCACATTCAATGGGAACAGTGTCAGATAATTTGTGGCCACTTGTAATCTTGCATAAAATCAAGAAATATCTTAAATACCACTAGACCCTCTGTAATCCTGCTCTTCCCCAAATACACCATTGCCACCACCAACAGCAGAGAGATCAAATCTCTCTCTTAAACTCCCATGACATTACACCTTGCCCCTGTATGTAAATCTTGCGACCTTTAGCACAGTCTTGGTATAGAATGGTTATACCGAAATATGTTAATTTTATCAGTATGTTAAAAATGTCTGTCTACAAAGTATATAATTTGTATATGTAAACCTCTTCATTTATTCTCCAAAGAATGAATCTCTTCCCTGATAAATCTTCAGATATTTATATATATATAAAAATTATATATATTATATATTATGTTTATATATACTGTTGTTATATGTATAACATATAAAATTATATGTATTAAAATTTTGTTTTATATATTATAATTTTCTGTTTTTTGTGTGTGTCTGTGTGTGTGAGTATATATATATATATATATATATATGTATATATATAAAGAGAGAGAGAGAGAGAGAGAGGTTAATTACAATATATTGGCTCATGCAATTATGGACGCTGAGAAGCCCCACTATCTGCTGTCTGCAAGCTGGAGGCCCAGGAAAGCTGGTGATGTAGCTCAAAGACTTGAGAGTCAGAGAGCTAATGGTGTAGACTCCAATCCAGGTCTGAAGACCTGGAAACAGGAGCACCAATGGCAAGAGGGATCGATGTTGCAGCCCAAGCAGTCAAGCCCAGTTAATTGAATCTTCTTTCACATTTTTGTGCTATTCAGGCTCACAGTGGATTGGATGATGCCCACCCATATTGGGAAGGGCTTTCTGCTTTACTCAGTTCACCAATTCAACTGCTAATCTCTTCCAAAAACACCCTCACAGACACACCCAGAGATAATGTTTAACCAGCTATCTGGGCATGTCATGGCCCAGTCAATTTCACAAGTAAAATTACCCATCAAAGCTAGTAACCCTGATACTTTATTTAAGTGCTGGTAAAGAAAATTTAGAAGAATATGCCCACAACCTTGCCAATAAATTTGACAATATCAAAATTTAAATAAATCTCTATTACAAAATACCATGAACAAAGTTCAAAGAGAAGTGACAAATTTAGAAAAAGATATTTGTATCATATGTAAATACAACATGGATCAATATCCAAATTATACAAAGTATTTCTACAAATCAATAAAGTTAAAACACATGAGAGCAAAATAGATAAGAGATATAAACAAGTCATTTACAGAAATAAAAACACAAATGACTAGGAAAATATGCTAAACCTCACTAATAATCAGGGCATTGCAAATTACAATCCATTCTTTACCTATCAGATTGATAAAAATTTTAAAACCTGACAATATCAAGTGTTAGTGATAGTGTGAAGGAAGGGGAACTGAAATTGGTACAGACAGTTCTGAGGCCAATTCAGTGGTATTTATTGAAACAAACAAACAAAAATACATACCTCTGTGACCCAGTAATTCCACTTCACACTAACTTCCTTTGTTCCTGTGCAAAAGGAAGCATTTTGATATTGTCAAAATTATTGACAAAGTCACATATTTTACTGCATTTTTTATTATCAGTTAACTAAAATTTATTATCAGTTAAATAAAATTAAATATTATCAGTTAAATAAAATTATTATCAGTTAAATAAAATTTTACCCGTTAAATAAAATTCTAGTCATAAACTACAAATTTTGGTAGGCAGGTATTGCTTTTAATGCACTAATAAATGTATATTTTTGTATAATTATATAAGGAACTACATTTAACTACATTTTACTCAGTTGCTGAGTAAAAAAAAAACAAGGTAGAACATTACATACAGTGGAAAACTATTTAAGTTAAACACATATACAAAACACTACTATAAATTGTTATGAATTTGTAAATAATGGTACGTAAATGCGAAGAATAAGGTCTGGAAGGACATTTACAAAGCTGCTCACAGTGGTGACCCAGAGAGTGTTGAGGGTAGGACAGAAATCAAAGAAGGGATTCAAAGGAACTTCAGCCCCATCTGTAATATTTTAATTTCTATCAAGACAATATATTATTTGTAAAAAGTAAGAATAATTTTAAAAATTAACCACAAAATTTTTTATTTCAAAATGTTTGAAGAGATAAATTACTCTTAGTAATAAGATGAGATATCCACATTATATTTTTAAGTGAACAAACTAAATTTTGAGTCATTCTGTCCAGTACAACTTCACTTAGGTAAAGAGAGAGAAAAATACAGTTATATAGATACATGAGGTATTTAAGTGGAAATGCGTGGAAAGGGAAAGATCTCTGCAGACTGGTGATGATGGTTACTTTGTGGGGAAGGGAGTGAAGGTGGGAGGCAGAGGGCAGGGGAGACTTTTACTTTTTTAGAAAATATGCTTCTGCAGTTTCAATGGTCATAATGAGCCCGTACTAACCTTATGATTGAAGGCCTAATTTAAAAAGTTAATCCAAGGTTGGCCCACATGGTTAGTTATGAAACATCCTGAATTTCACACCTAAACCATGGCCTATTTCCAGTATCACTTTTGTTTAGAAGATGGAAGCCTTTTATCTAAGAGATTGGCTTGAAGTTCATGCACTGAGTCAGCAGAGGACAGCCTCCATCCATGAGGAATGAAGGAAATAGGAACACACAATTACTCTTCTCTAAGGGTTAGGGAAAATGCCCCAAAAGGGACACATTGCATTTTATTATCATTATTGATTTGTAACTCTTTAGGCAAAGGGTGTTGAGCTAAATAATCTAGACCAAATCTTAGGCAAGAATTTGTTGATCCAGACCAAATTACATAGCGAGAACAGGAAGAGACTGTACTAATTGTACAATCACTTTTTTATTATTAACATAGGCACAAAGGGATAAGTGTATAAACTGATGCTATTACTGTCCCACTCCTTTGTGCCCAAACAAAAGAAAAAGATTTTACAAACAGTGTCTGTTTGATGGTATCAAACATGGTAGGAAGAGCCTCTTCCTTCAGTCATTTCCTGTTTGTCAGTTTTCTATCTAGGTGTCAGGTTTAAATTTGGAACACTCAAGAAGCAGTGAATTTATCTCAAGCAAAGGAAGAAAAAAGGGAAGAACAAAACCAGATTACCCATCAGAAAACAAAATATAATTTAATATGCAAAGTAGTGTTCCTTCTCCTAGTTATAAAAACTATTGGGGAGGTGATTTGCACAATACCAATGAGAGTTATGAACAAATATTGCTCTAATGGCTTATGAATTGTTAGCCTGTGATTTGAAGACTGATTTAGGAACTACTGACATTGAAAGACATTAAATTAAAGTGATGATGAAAAGTGATGAATTCCAATATCGGTATAAGTCAAAAGTGAAATACCAAGGGCAAAATTAATGCAAGAACCTCCAAAGAGAATGATTCAAAATGAAAGAATATTCTAACAGAAAACAAGAAGTACAATAGCAGTGATTAAATCATAATTGGTATAAGGATTCACTGATACTAAAATTTAGTTCCTTCTTAGCTAATATTTGGAGAAAAGGAAGAAAGGGATGCCCTATTAAACCCTACTAATGACTGACCCAGAGAGCAGTGCAGTGCTAAGAAAATTCTCTCGGTGCATGTGTGTTTACTACATCTGGATCTCCCAGGACAATGCCAATTTACTTAGTTTTAATTGTGATATAATTGACACAGTAAACATGCACAAACCTTAATTGTATAGCACAATTAATTTCACATATGTATCCAGCCATGTAGCCATCACCCAGACCAAGCTTTGCAATATTCCATCACCTTAGAAGATTTCCTTATGACATTTTCCAGTCAGTTCCTCTTCCCCTAGAGGTAGCCAGCCTCTCCTGCAACTCCTATCATCATAGCTTAATTCATGTGTTCTTGAGCTTAATATAAACAGGATCATACAATATGTAGTCTTTTGTGTCTGGCTTCTTTCATTGTTGAATGATATTTGCATTGTTTCAATTTTGAGATCATAATGATTGAAGCTACTGCGAGCATTCTTTAGAAGGGTCCATATATTTTCATCTGTTCATATGTTTTATATGTCATCAAGCTCCTGTTGATCATAAGACCTGTGAATTAAACAGAAATGTTTCTCAACCCAAAATGGTGAGAGATTGGATTACCATAACAGACGGTCCCCTCCAAAAAGAGAAGGAACAGAAGGTACAGAGCAGTCATAGGTCTGTAGCAAATCTAAAATCCACCAGGCTTATGCCACCTCCCCTTGATTGAGGCCCAATTCTCACCCTGCAAGTGCATTATTCTTGGCTCTTGGCTTTGACCTGTGGGCTCTTGGCTCCTACTTCTGAATCATGATTTCTCTTCCATAAAAAAAGTCTGTGTTTGCAGCAAGGTAGCTTTCTTAGCCTGCTTCCTGCATATAGAAATTAATTTTTTATACTATCTCTGTCCCTTTCATTCCAAGCTGTTTTGATTCCCTTACCAATTTTGTGGTTTTCTTGTATCAATTTATAATATCCTCAATAAACAAAGCCACACCCACATTTCTTTCAGAGACAAGTCCTTCCATATCTGGGCCACATGTATGGATGCTATGGGACAAAACCCTTAAAATTCTTAAAAGCCTTATTGTTACTGAGAGAGTTTATAAAAGTCTGCCCGTAAATCTTCCTGAGATCCTAACAAAGTATCTTACAACTGCATACATGAGATATTTACCTTAAATCCATGTTCCAGTGATAGCTCTGGATTTGGTCTTGCCATTTATTATTTTGAAAATCTTTTACTGGGAGACACTGGGGATGGAAAACAGTTTTATTTTCAAGCCCAATGAATCCTGAATATATTGTGATTCCTCTAAATTTGACTGAAAAAGTTAACAGTTCCTTCCTTATTTCATCCCTCTTTCTTCTTGTAAGTTATTATAATCAGTAGAAGAAGCCAGTTGGCACTTTCTGCATTCTGCCTGGAAATCTCCACAGTCAAGCCCATAAGTATCTCAAGTACCCATTCTATTTTCCAAGTCTCCATAGGCAACAAAATTGCCAAACTGTGTGCAGGTTCATGACAAGGATTCCTGCTTCCCCATCTTCAAATAACACTTCCCTCACTGTCATATGAGTCCTCATCAATGGCCTCTTGAGGCGTTTGAATTTACAATATTCTTGAAGCGCTACCAGCATCCACCCACTGCCCATCCCAAAGCCACTGTCACATATTTAAGATTTGGGTTATGGAGCACCCTCTTTCCAGGTACCATTTACACCAAAATGTAATGGCTTCAACAATAGCCATGTAATTATACTCATTATTTTGTGGGTTAGGCATCAGGCAGGGATCTCCAGAGTGATTCTTCTGCTCCCTGTGACACTGACTGAGGTCACTTAGTGGTATTCAGCTGTGGCATGTGGGTTGGTTTGGAGGGTCCAAGACAACCTCGCTGCATGTCTGAAGCACTCTGGTGGGATGGCTGGAAGTCTGGGCTTAACTGCAGTGCCCACACATTGCTTCTCTAGCATGAGGGTCTCAGGATATCAAACTCTGAGAAAGCATATCAGCAGTCCCAGAGTGTGTTCCATGGGACCAAAGCAGAAGATACTAAGCTTCTTCTGACCTAATCTTGGAAGTCACACAGTGTGCCACTTCTACCACATTCTAATAGCTCTGAGTAAGTCACAGGTCATGGGAGGGAGCCAAGAAGTATGGTTCACTGCAGGATCATCTTTGGAGACTTGATAGCGTATATGGAACAAAAGTAGGATGTCACTTGAAGACTAAGAAGAGTCATTGTCACTGTTCCTTATCCAGCTAGCAAATAAGCATGCTCTGCTTTTTAGCTATTATGAATCTTCTCTGTGTTTGTAGTCTTAAGTACATTATTTAACATTTCTGTATTTTATTTGCCTTATTTGTTATACTTTGTAAATTTGTTGTGATGATTTGAGATCATAAAGTGCTTAGCTGAGGGTTTAGCACATAGTAAATATTAGGCATAATAATATAAATATTTAATATTTTTAGTTCCTATAATAATTCTATTGCAAAGGAATTATTTGTAACAACTAATAAAGAAAAAAACAAACACACAGAGAAAGTACTATGACCTGTTAATTGAAATGATTTTATTTTATTGTTGAACCTTAGATATCTATAAAACTTATTTCTAAATGCCAAGCAGAAAACTGGAAGGGCATTGACACATGTCAATACTGACATACTCCTAAATCTCTTTGTGACTCTGGTATGTGTCAAGATGATTCTGGAGCATGTCCCCAAAGCCAGGAATGATGAGGAGTTTATTGTCATCCACAAGACCCTCTCTGGCTTAGACTACTCCAAAGAATGGGGGAGGTCACCTGCTTCACGTCCCAGAGAATCATTCTGTTTCAGAACCAACTCTGAATTCAAGAGAAACTTCACTTATTTTATTTTTTGCCCTAAATTAGAGGGCATATAGACAATAAGGCTGGCCAATGTATGGCTCTAATGAGCACATTTGGAGCTGGTCAAAACATTCAAAATCTTAAACCTTAAGATCTGAGGTCTCCCACATCCCAAACTCCCTTCTCTTTCAACCCACTTGTGTTTTCTCTCTGTTAGGTCGGTCTGCAGATGGGCAAAAGCAGTAAGGTTGGAATACGCCCCTGAGGGCATAGCGCTCTCCTTCTTTGGAAGATGAAGCTTACTATTCTGGAATCTCATTTACAAGAACAAGTCTCCGGCCTTGGTCACATCTCACTTTCTTCTTTTCTACCAATTTTCTCCCAAATGTAACTGTTGGAAGCTTGCCAAATTGTCAGTGATGCTGCCAGGGCTAAGCTTTCTCAGGTGTTGCCTGGTTAACTCAGGCCTTCCAGAAGGTCAAAATAAGTCTGAGAACATAAGTGTTCTAAATCTAAGTGGGGCCATGGTGATAAATGATGGCCATTCTGATTCACTCAGTGGAAAGTACATTAGTGTAGAGCTGGGACTTTATTAAGGAAGAGGAACTAAATATGAATTGACCATTCCACTTGCAGTGATGCAACATGGTATGATGCTATTCGACTGGTTAGAAATATTGGAATATTATGCTACTTTGTCCAAAACAAACCAATGTTATTTGGTTTTTAACTCATTTTCCTGCTACCCAAAACCCTAATGGTTTGGCATTTCCTTGCTTGCTGTTATAAACAAACCAAGAAAGAAGAAGCAATTTGGAGCTGTGTATTTAAGCTGGAGGCACTTAAAGAACAAGGTTGCTGCTCTGAGGTCTGCAGTTTTGTCTGAATGTCCACACAGAAGAGGCCTGGGAGCTGGTTTCACCCACACTTTGGAAGAAAGAAGACAGCATATGAGATGGAAGAGACATCTTCTGAATGAGGAAAGTAAATTCGTGTTCATTTTCAGTACTTGGGTTCCAGCCTAAAGAAGGCTATTAGGATATTAATGATCAATTGTACCACTTTAGTGTAGGGCCAAAGCTAATATTGCTTTAGTACTGAGGGAGTATGATCTCTCATAATGGGTTAAAATTTGAACATATATTTACTTCCAAAAAGAAGGGGGCTACAGATAAACTTCTGTCCCTTAGTCCCTCTTCTCAGTCATGATATCTACACATCAAAACTAATGAGTCACAGAGATAGAAAAATCAAGACCCTAAAGAGATGGGGAACCAGACTCTAAATTAACAGATCCCATCATTAGGGTCAGAGAGCAGCGGCAAAATCGACTATTATAATTATAATCATAGTTATTGTTTTGAGTTACCAGAGGGCTCAGAAGGCTCAATTTCAGAGGACACGTTTAAACTTTCTAGTTTTGTCTTACTGAAGTTACAACCATTGTTAAATCTGATAAAGAGTTCTGTTCCCTTTTCTAATTCCATGAAAGACTAATTCATGTATAAAAAGCCTCTACTTCATTCACTCCGTTGTAAAGGAAGAGATGCATCAATCCACTCAGGAAACAAATCTTGTTACACGTGGGAGATCAGTTGTTTTATGAAATAAAATTAGAAGTGTAAATGCGGTTAACATTTTAAAGATATGGCAATTGAAAGTACACCTTGAACTCATTTGAGTTCATATTTTTTTTCCGTTTTTTGAAATCACACCTGTATTGACATGCACTCTCTTCCTCTATCTGGTAAGCACAAGGTGTGGGAACTTGTGCAATAGATAATTAATCTCTATTGCTATCTATAGTTTCATAGTTAACACTGTCTTAGCAGACGTGTGAAAACACATTCACACCTTTGAAAATGGATGATTAACTAATCAAATGACAATATGAATGTTAGAATTACAGAAATGACTGCAAGGCAGAGCTATTTATGATTACAACATTCTATTTCATTTTAAAGGGTAGATTGTTCAGTATAATGTGTGCTCCTCAAACATCTAAGCAGATTCTCAACTTTTTAATTGCATGACTCCTCAAAAAAGAAGGAAGAAAATTTCAGATCCTTCCTTAATTAAGCATTTTTTCCAGTTTTATGAATAAATAATTGACATACATCACTGTATAAGTTTTAGGCATACAACAGAATGGTTTGATTTACATATATTGTGATTACCACAATAGGCTCATTTAACATCCATCCATATAGATACAATAAAAGAAAAGAAAGGAAAAAAACTTCTCCTTGTGATGTGAATTCTTAGGATTTACTCTCTAAACAGTTTTCCTATATGTCATACAGCAGTGTAGCTATAGTCATCATGTTATACATTACATCCCTAGTACTTATTCATCTTGTAACTGGAGGTTTGCTCCTTTTGACTACCTTCCTCCAATTCTCTTTCCTCTCACCCTCCACCTATGATAACCACAAGTCTGATTCCTTTTTCTATAATTTTGTTTTCTTGTTTTTTTTTAGATTCCTCATATAAGTGAGATCATACAGTACTTGTCTTTCTCTGAGTTATTTCACTTAGCATGATGCCTTCAAGGTCCATCCATGTTGTTGTGAATGGTAAGATTTCTTCATTTTTTATGGCTGAATAATATTCCATTGCAAACATATGCCACAACTTCTTTTTTTTTGAAGAAAAAAATGTTTAAGACCAATGTGCAGCATGTGGCAAACACAAAGTTGATCCCTATCTACTGTCATTTTACAGCC